TCACTCGTGTGTGCTCCCGCTCTGGGGCCCAGGCAGGCTCCAGGGCCCATACCGGGGAGGGGGGGCTCCGGGGCCCGGGCAGGCGCCAGGGCCCATACCGGGGAGGGGGGGGAGCTCCGGGGCCCAGGCAGGCTCCAGGGGCCCATACCGGGGAGGGGGGTGCTCCGGGGCCCGGGCAGGCTCCGGGACCCCGTGAAGCGATCCGCAGGCGGCCGGAGCGGGAGTTCGCTGACTCCCGGAGCGGAGGAAGCGCTCGGGAAGGCCGCCCCCCCGGAGCGGTGGCGGCGGGAGGGCCGCGCTCTCGTAGCCAGGCGGGTGTGGGTTACAGCGGAGCTGGTTTCAGCCGGGGCTCGGCGTGCTTAGGGTCACGGCAGCCTAACGTGGAGGTAACACACTGTGTGCTGTCCCCCCCACCCAAGACACCCCTCCCCTCTGTGCCTCTGTTCTCAGCCAGGAACACCCTATAGCTGGCTCTAGCACCTTCCAAAAGCAAACCCCGACCCGCTTCTCCCTGGAGCACGGCAGGTCTCCCACACCTTCTTGCCCGGGGGGAGAGCACGGCACCCCGCAGCGCTGCTCTGCCCGGCCAGGAACACTCCCCAACGCCCCGCCAACACCTTTGGCTGGCTGCAAAGTGGATTTGCAAGCCATTCTGTTGTACAAACATCGTTACATCCCGAATGTGCAAGAGAAGGCGAAAAACAAAGCTCTTAAATGCAGTACACAACACACTGAACTCTCCTGTATGTCATTACTCCTGCACTGAAACGTAAATTATCTTGCCAATACTGCCATAGTGGAATAACCTTTGCCCTTCCAATCTATATATCATAATGCCTCAGAACCCCTTGTCAATTTGCCTGAGACACAGCAAACTGGCCTTTAGCAGGCTGTATTCAGACTTCTGAAGTCTGTTGAAGGCACAAAAGGTAGGAAAGAGATCCAAATTAAAATTAAAACCAATTATTTTTCTCACAGAACTTGGAATGGGCCTGGAATTTGTGATCTTTGGCAGTTATACAAAGGCAGGGGGCAGGAATGAGGACCACTGAGAATTAATAAATTAGTACAAATGAAAGCAGTGATACTTGATGACAACTGTCGATGTTGACATCTCTTCCCACTGGACTTAAGGTTCTGGGAGAACCTTTGGCTTATCTTTGGCTTGAGAAATCAGAACACTCCATAACCCTGAGTCTTGATCACTCAAGGATTTGCTGCTCTTTTGAAAACTGTTTGCAATTATATTGCACCATTTCTGACTCTACATCAATGTTAAAGGCAAGGACTTATCAAAGGCTGGGATAAGGTCTTTGCCAAAAATTGAAGACTCACTTTTTCCAGCTGAGTCATACTGGCAGATAAAGCTTTTTAAAAAAATAGAAAAATAGCAACAAGGCCAAAAAAAATCTGGATACAGCAAATAGGTCTTAAAGTTTGAACAGCTATAGTTCTGGGGTTTTTTTAAGAGAGAGGGTTGGCATCCAGAAAGCTGGTCTGCTGTTGCTTTTCTTAGCTGATCTCCTCAAACTTGTCACTTGTTAGCTCTTTCACCTCTTCCCCTCCCAGTGCTTTGGATATTCTATATTTTTTAACAGCTGTTTTGGGTGCTACATGGTATTTGAGAGTTGGTTTTGAACACAAGCTGGGAGCATGAAGCACTGCCCAGTTTAAGTTACATGGCTGTGACAGGGTTTTTGATTTAAACAATTTCCAGCAAACTGTACCACTGGTGAGCCTTATATCCAAGAAACTTAATGCAAGTCCCTGAGGCTTACTCTTAAGTTTATCACACTGTGTAACTGGAGAGATTTTTATCTAGACCATGTCGCTTTTCATTCCCAAGGAGAAACTTTAGCTTATGGGAAAGGGAGAGATCAGCACCACCCCCCCAGTAAAAAGGTTACTTGGTCTTTCATTGCAGATCTTTCAGCTGCCAGCCTGGGTGACTGTTTCTGCAGCATCTGCTGGGGCAGTTCCTTGTGGACAGCAGTGGCTTAATAGCTGCCTCAGTAAGGCCTGAACAAGCTTACCATTTAAGCACTTGGTAAAAGCCAGGTGATTATTCTCCCCTGTCAGGGTAAATGGACTGTTGAGGAATTAAGACATTCTTGAGAAAGGTACAAACTTGGTGTTGCCATACTGATGTATAAAGCCTATAGTGTGGGAACACCTATTGGCCTCTTAATTGCTGAATTAGCTTGTAAAACATCAAGGAACAACTTGGCTGTCTCCTTCAGATGGATTTACTCTAAAATGTGACCAATTAATTGTAAAACACTACAGACTCGTGCTGTGCTACTCACTTTTGACTTGTGATACTTCAGGTTTTGTTTCTGGCTGGGAAAGGTGTGCTGCTACCCTCGCACTGCATTGTCAAAGCCCTCCCCGCAAACACGTGCCAGTAGGACCTGCTGGTTTTGAATGGTCTTAGGAGGGAAGATGACAGAAGGAAAGGCTGTGAACATGATGGAAGCCAATTAATAAGCATGTGGAAAAGTATTGGTGTTTGCTTACTAATGAGGTGCGCAAGGAACCTCCCCAGGCTGCTCCTCTGCCTGCAGGAACTGGCAGGGAGGAGGCTCCGGCAGCACACGGATATCAGATGGAGCCTCCAAGTGCAGGGAGAGCAGCGGGAGCTTCGCCTGCTCTTGGCTACTGAGGGGCACGAAGCAAGTTCAAGTGGCTCTAAGAGCTGCGGAGGAGCAAGAGGAGGCAGCGGTGGTGGGATGAAAAGGAGCCATCTGGTAAACACAAGTGGCTGCCAAGTCAGATGACTTGAGCAGGAACTCGAGAGCAGTCTTGAGGGTAGCAGGACACCAGGCTGGCTGAGGAAAGAGATGAGTCAGGCAGGGAAAAACGAGAGCAACTGGTTGAGGAAGAGCAGGATGCAGTTGTGAAACAGGCAGCTGGTAGAGGTACTGTTGGGCGACGGGTTCTTATTTGCTGCGGGACGTGGTAATCTGTAGCTTGGATCACAAGGAGGGGACAAAGACAACAAGGTAGGAATTTCTCATTTGCAAGTTTCACCTTGCTGGAGAATGTAGGCAAAAGTGAGTGTTGTTAGGGCTTCAAGAAGGGACTGCCCATCCCAGGCACCAAGGAAAGTGACAGTTCCCTGCTCAGTAAAGAGTTGATAGTAGGAGACGCTGTTTCTCTTTGATTGATGGCGTGGAAAGAGAACTGAGCTCATTGTCAGCTGTATAAAGGAATCTCCAGTGAAGAGCTAGCAAGAGTATGTCTCTTACTAGTGAAAAGTCCCTTGAGGAAGATACAACTGCAGAAATATCTAGTTTTGGGTACCGTATCAGCTGTAGGCTGCAGCAGACAAAGGGTTTCCAACCTTTAACCGGTGGATAGCAAAGGGGCACATGAAAATACAAGCAAACTGACTACAGATACAAAAATAACTGTTGGAACGTCTGCATTTATTAAAAGTCCAAGAAGTCTGCAGATGGAAGGACACTGACATTGAAATTTCATAGTAAAAATAACCATGATTAAATGGTTCTTTATTCTGCAGAGTGGTTGCATTGATTGCTACAAGCAACCGGCTCTTTCAGGAATTGTTAATATTTTAAAATGGGTAACTTTGTTCTGAGATGGGTCTATGTTTGGAGGAAGTGTTTAGATAATGCTTACACGCTTACAATCACCTCAGTGTTTACAGCATTATTGCTTAAGTCTTTGCCGTGGTGAGGAGGCCAGACTGGAGTTAAATGCAGCTACGTCGCAAGTTATAATTATACTCTTAAGCTGTAGTCAGTTGTAACGTTTAGGGGCTAAAGGCTCAGTAGCGATACGTGACCTTATTAAAGCCAAGAGATAAAACTGAGCAACGTAAAATAACTTCTTCCTTATTCTTTGGCTCTCTAACTGCGGCTTAGTTCTGCTCATTGAACCCCAGCTGCCCTCTCCCTGCTGGAGAGCACCCTGTTGCAGGAGCGCCAGCACAACAGACTTTCCCCAAATACTCTTAATCTGTTTGCCCTGGTGGTGATTTTGGCCAGTATTCTCTCTCATTTAATATTAAGCTAGACCCTGCTGTTAAGAACACGGAGGATGGCAGCATGGTTCCTGCTTCTGACAGCAGAGCCGGTTGGTACCTCCGAGCTTCCAGAGCTGTAAGACAAGTCTGACCTCAGCGTTTGCTTGGAAGAGAACCATGTGTGGTTTTCTCTTGGCTTCTCCCTGCGATCCCTCATTTTCCCTCCCTTTGCTAGGAAATCCCTTCTCCTGCCAACAGGAGCCCGTGGAATGTGCTGTTTGTTTACCTTCTCACTCCTTCATCCTACTAACCTTCCCACTCCCCGGTTGTAATCCTGACAGGCTCTGCTCAGCTGAGTGTTTTCAGATGGAAGGATTGCTGCAAGAAGCTGTTCTGACCAGGCTCTGCTTAGTGGGGGGTGGGAGGCTGTGGCATCCTGCAAGGCTGGAGCTGTCCTCCCCCCATCTGTCTGTCTGTCCGTCCATGCCCTGGCTGGCAGCTGCTTCCTTCAGTGCTGCTGCACGTCATCATGAGGCGCTACAAGATATCAGGGAAGAGCACGCTTCCCAAGTTCTTCCCTTTTTTTTGCATTCCCCTGCCTGGTTTTGCCTTTTGGGGGTAATAAGCTAGGAGTACCTTTTTCTCATGGCTTCCCTACTGCATGAACTGAAGGACAACTTTAGTTATTCCCTCTGAATGGTACTGGTATCTCCTAACCTGACCTGCTCTTGCTATCCCAGACTGCTAAACTCCACTTTTCTGCCCCCTTTCAACTGTTCTGGCTCCGTAGAAAACACCTGTAAGGCATTTATTATTTTTAAAGCCATTTGAAATTCTTGGATTAAAATGTTTGAACTGCTTAGAAAGAAAAAAACCCCACACTTAATGTAGTTGATGTGGTTGCTAAGGGTAGAAGCATCTTTTCTGGGCTTGCGGTGTGCTGCCATCCCTGGTTAGAGAAGGCCTTAAAGCTCACTCTTTCCATAGGGGTTTATAATAATCCAAGTGAGGAAATCCTGTGTTTCTAGCACTTATGAAAATTGCCATTTTGAGACTGTCCCTCCTTTGATCTGTGCACATACTTTATCTCGTCTGACTTCAGCCGACTGGCAAGGATTATAAATCCCTTAAGCAGGGACTGGCCTCCCCTTTGTTTTGCAGCCTGGACACTATTGGGGCTCTCCTGGATACCTACACGCATGGCTTGAATTTTCTGCTGTCCTGCTGGAAGACTTTGTAATGAGTTTGTGCACTTAATGCTTCCTAGACACTTCTTACACTTCCTTAACAGCTCTTTGTAACACTTAGGAGTTCACCTCTCAGTTGCATTTCTTGATACCATCACTCAAGTCTTTGGATGGTCTCGGATAAATATGTGGGTAGGGAAGGCTGTGGCAGCTTGTTTTCCTGTTTTCCCTTCTCCCGTTCTGTTCCTGCACTGTGCTAAAGACAAGGGTCTCACAACTGATAGCCTGAGTAAAAGCCTGAGAAACTGAGCACACAAGGGATACGCTTCTACACTCGCAATAGATAATCATGTCCCCAGCTGACTGCTTCAGAAAGCAGGAAACTTTCCACCAGCTCCGAGACACACCAGAATTTAGCACTGGGAGTTCAAGCATTGGTATATGATGCTTTGGAGTAAATGAAGCTGTATGAGGAGAATGTCTGTTGGTTTTGCCGTATTTCTGACAGTCTGACCTTTCACCCCTCCCTGCAGAACACCCTGACGGCCGGAGGAGCTCCTGGAGCACATCTGATCACTGCTGCCACAAGGCCCCAGCCAGCCAGCCACCATGTACTGCCTTCAGTGGCTGCTACCTGTCCTGCTCATACCCAAACCCCTCAACCCAGCCTTGTGGTTCAGTCACTCGATGTTCATGGGCTTCTACCTGCTCAGTTTCCTCCTGGAACGGAAACCTTGCACGATTTGTGCCTTGGTCTTCCTAGCAGCTCTATTCCTCATCTGCTACAGCTGCTGGGGGAACTGCTTCTTGTATCACTGCACAGGATCCCAGTTGCCAGAATCAGCTCATGATCCCAGCATAGTGGGCACCTAAAAAACAATCATCTTCCAGTCTGCTGAGGGCTCTTGTTTTGCTTTTAAAAAGGGGGTGGGCTAGGGAGGAGGGAGGGGGTGTTCGGCATGTGACTGGAGTAAAAACAGCCTGTTTCCTGTAGCTGTGTGTGGACTGGAGTGGTAAGTTCCTCCCACTCTGCCTGTGAAATTCGACTTGTTTACTGTGTGAACTCTGGCAGCACCACCTGCTTTTTTAGAAGCAGAAATCCTTTTGGTTTTCTTTTCCTTCTTCCCGTATGACCGGGAGCAGACACCAGCCCTCCAAACTGAGAACCGGTGGAGGACCCAGCTGCTGGCCTCTGCCCAGCTGCTGCACAGCAGTAGAGTCGTGTGTCACTCACTTGTCTGCATTAGGCCACGGTGGTCTAAACTCAGGGCTCTCGGCCCGCTGATTCTGCTCTAGTATCTCCAGGAGTCTCTCCATCCTTCTCTTTGTGGGGAGCCAGCCTTCCCGCCTCGCTGATCAAGGGCAAGCTCGACAGCTCGCGGATGCACTTGGCCAAAAGCTGCTGGAACCAGAGGCAGTTGAGTCATCTCCTCCTGCTCAGCCTGCCAAAGAGATGTGTGCACTGCCCAAGTGCTTTCTGAACTACTTCTGCTCCGAGATCATAGCCTGAAAGCCTCAGTTATGCTGCTGCTTTTATAAAGCCTCACAGGTAGTGGAGACTGGCTCCTCCCCTCCTCCTAGATTTCCAGGGTTTACCAAGGTATTGACTGTTGGGATAAAGAACCGATAATGCTGCAATTGGGGGTGGAGGGGAGGGAGTTTGAAAGCCACTGTGAACCTCACCCCATAAAACTCACACGAGCCCCAAAGACCACACGTGGGCAGGGCAGGAGAGATCCTGAGGTGGAGGCACAGTGTGAAGCAGTAAATGCTTCAGCTGTTTTCAGTGATGGTGTTTTTGGGTCAGGGGTGGCAGAAGGTGCTGGTGCTACTAACTGAAGAAGGGAGGAGGCTGGAGAAGCACCTGGTGCCTCCATCTCCCCTGGTAGAAGGATGCCATGAAGCCTGGGTGGTGGTGGGTCCATCCTGCATATGTTAGTCTGTGCAGCCATGGCTCTTGGGGAGACTGAATCACAGAATGATATGGGTTTGGAAGGGACCTCTGGAGATCATCTAGTTCAACCCCCCTGCCAAAGCAGGTCCTCCTAAGAGCAGGTTGCACAGAAACTTGTGCAGGCAGGTTTTGAACATCTCCAGAGAAGGAGACTCCACCACCTCGCTGGGCAGCCTGTTCCAGGGCTCTGCCACCCTCAAAGAAAAGAAGTTCCTCCTCATGTTTAGGTGGAACTTCTTAAGTACAAGTTTGGGCTCATTTCCTCTTGTCCTGTCACTGGGCACCTCTGCAAAAAGGCTGGCCCCATCCTCTTGACACCCACCCGGGTGGGTGACCCCGGGGCAGAGGTTTGTTTGTGAGAAAACTTAGAGGTTAACACAAAATGCTGTCTCTAAACTTTAAAGGGTTCCCTCCCCTTCACCATCTGTTTGTCTTGACTTGGGTCTGGTAGCGGGGAGCAGCAGAAGTGGCTGTTGCTGTCCCGAGGAAGTTCAAGCTATCGGGTTGTGAAACTTCCAGAGTATTGTTTGTTCATTGCACAGCTGTTCAAAACGTTTAATAAAGCTTTATAAACTTTGGTCTATGGCCTCCTGCCCAGCATGATGCATTGGCTGCTCATTGCAGATGCCTTAGCCCGGCAATCATGTGTCTGCATTGTCCTCTTCCCAGCACAGTAACTCCAGAGGCTCCAGCACGAGGCAGAGCCTGTTTGCCCTGTAGCTCCCAGAACAGCCTCTTCTCATTAACTGGTTAACCTGGCCGTGGGCAGACAGAACCATGCTGGAGATTCCTAGCTAGACTCCTCGTACACACAACACAGGAGGTCGCTTCTGGTTGTATTTCTGTGCTTACACGACAGATTCCCTCTTTCTGTACCGCTTAGGAGCCATGTCCCGAGAGCCACTAACCCCCAACACGGGCAGTAAAAGTGTCACCACCAGGCACCTGTGTGCTGTCAGCCCGTTCCCAGCTTTGGCCATGGCCCCGGGGGCACAAAGAGGGGCACCCACCACAGCCAGACATGGGACTCTCAGACCCAACAACACCCAGAAGCACCCTGGGGAGTTAAATGGTGCAGGAGCTGCTGGAGCTGGAACCAGCTTCCCCTACTCCTGCTCCAAAGTACTAAAGACCAAGTCCAAGTTGGAAAGGGTGCGGGGCATATCAGTGTTTACATGTGTAAAAAAAAAAAAGTGTGTGCCACATCACCCAGAATAGACGTGACAGCTCTGTCACCTGCCAGGCAGAGGGAAATCCCAGTAGCTGTCACAGCAGCTACAGCATAAATAACAAATAGGAACAGGAGGGGGGGCATCTCCTTTGCGAGCCGTGGCAAAACTCGTCTGCGCTCCGAGCAACTTTTAAGTTTAAATTTATTTAAGCTAATGCAGTCCTTTTAAGAGGACGTTTTTGTTGCTAACGAGCCGAGTTGCACTCTATGGCGATTTAAATAAATCCTCGCCACGAAGCCAGACAGTCCTCTGGGGGAGAGCAAGCCCTGGCTTTGTACCCGGGTTCAAGACGCGCCGCAGCTGCGGGCTCTCCCTTCCACCAGCCCCAACGTGGGGTGAAAAAAAAAAGCACTTCAAAAGAGGGAGGCTGCCCACGTAGTGACAGGAGAGATCTCGGCACTGATGGGTAAGAAACCTAATTTTTGCAGCCCTCCCACCCCCAAATGGAGATAAAGAGCACGCTTTGATATGCACAAGCCCTCACCAGCACGCTGCCTTCCCCTCTTCGGGGCACTGAGATACCATCTTCATTTTAAAGATGGAAAATTAAAGTCACTTCATCACGGTCAGACAGAAAGCCTGGGGCGAGAGCGAGGAACCCAACCAGGTCTTACATCCCATGCTAATGCCCTGCTTGTCCTTCTCTAAAAAGAGACCGTGAAAAACCAGCCTGTGACTACAGAACAGGTCGAACCCGATGGCTTTTGAAGAGCATCATCACAGCTTCCCTGCTCGGGCACCGCAAATTGGACTGAGCCCGTCCAGACACAGCACCTGGGCTCTTGGGCAGGCGTTTGCTGGCTGCATGGAGGAAAGCTCAGAGGAGATGTTTCACTCCAGTCTCTAGGAGTTTCTCTGCCCAAAGAGCAGTGGGTGGCTCTGTCCCCCCAGTATCCTGGAGGCATCACGGGGTCTCTGCACGGGGACCACACCAGTGGGCAGTCACTCTGGGGTGGTTGCTGCTCTAGTGACCCCAAAAGCAGTGGGGTTTAAACACAACTGCTGTGCTGTGCCAGCTTCTGTCAAACCTGGACGCTGCCCGCGAGGGTTTTGGCGCAGAGCGAGCCTCATCACCTCGCTGCTTTATAAAGCGTCCATCTGCCTGGTGCCCCCTAGATACAGGGAGCGGGAGCCTTAAGCTGTTCCTTTGTCTTTCCATTTGAAGGAGAGATCATTTTCTTTTCTAGGTCACATAACAGATCAGTGACACAGCGGGGTCAGAGAAGAAAAAAAAAAAAAACAACACACCAAACCCAGGCTCAGATCCCTAGAAACAGAGACACAGCTTGGCTCAGGCGGTGCTCTGGCTCCTCACTGCCACCTCAGGGGCCGGGGGCTTCTCACTCCCTTCCTCACCACCCATCAAGGAGAGGCAGCAAGCCAAAGATTGGCAACAGGGACACCACAAGGCCTCCCATGGGGAAGGTTTGGCCATGACTGCCAGGCTGGTGGGGGTTTTTGAACCCCAGATCTGCCAGACATCCGTGCTGGTGCATTTCATCTCAGGGTGTGATGTTTGGCAGTTGAGCTCCCTGGCACAGGTTGGGGTGCAGGTAGGGGACCAGCTGTCTGGGGCCACCAGGGCCACCAGCCTGCTCTCCCAGCATCAGCCTGCCCATCTCTGGACCTTGCTGGGGTGATTAGTGCCTCCTGCCTGGATTCTCTACCCTGAGACGAGCCCACATCATGGCCTTACTAATTTAGCAGCGGATGGAGGAAGGAGGTTGATCCCACTGAGGAGCTGTTTGGGCTGGAAGCACCCACCAGACGGCTCAGAGAGGCAGCAAAGACCAGAAGTGCAGCCCCACTGCTGACAGCACTGGCCTCCCATGGCCTCTAACCTCATCTCCTCATTACCCTGGGGCTGGTCCAGCCAAACCCCCTGAGCCAGGGACACCACAAACATCACCCAGGGCTACAGAGCACCCTGCCCCTGCCCTTTGGTCTTGCCTGTCTCTTGCTCCTTGCACTGGAGCAGTTTCCTAGCCCTCAGTGACCCGAGCTACACATCAGGTAAGGACTTTAGCCCTTCCCTCGGGAGCCTGGAGATTAACCCTTGGCAAGAGGGTTTTGCTCCTCCTCTGAGCAAAGACAAATCCTCTGGGCAAGGGAAGATGGATGGCTCAGGTGCCACCTGGACCTGCTGCCGGGGATCTGAGTGGTAGAGTCTGCAGGGCTGAGTCCTCTGAGCAGACCCGTGCCAGCAGCCTCCTGTTCACCCCTTGCTGCCAGCAGGGACAGCGGGGGCTGTGGTGGCACAGCCAGAGACCCAGGCAGCTGGCACTGGGGTACAGCCCCTGCTGTGAGCCATCCCTGTGACAAACACCACCCTGGCTCCTGCCACAGAGTCCTTCTGCTGGGGCTGGGCTGCGGGAGAGACCCCAGACCCACAGCCCAGCCCAGGGTTTGCTCTGGGGGATGGAGTGGTTCAGAGCTGCCCCCCTGCACACTCACAAACATTTACCCTCTGGGAACCTGGGTCAAGAGCCAGGACTCAACGAGCCTTGAGGAAAGCAAAGGGGACGTTCACACCAAGCAACAACTCATCCTTGCTGTTTTAGAAACCCCCTGCCAGCACGAGCTGCCCAGCACAGGACCCCTACCTCCTCAACAGACCTGCTGTGGGGGCAGCCACAGCCCCCACCCCTAAATCCTCTCCCAGGCTTACAGGAGACACAACACAAGCGTGAAGCAAACATCAAGATTAAGTCCATTAAAGGAGGCACGTGGTGTAATCCCCAGGAGCATCTGCCTGGCTCGGGCTGGGGATGCCTGGAGAGAGTGGGTCCCGGCAGAGATTCCCCACTCACATCTCCTGGTCCAGCAAATCTCTGTCCCCCCCAGCTAACATCACCCCCCTTCCCACCCTGTTTCACAGGGCTGGCCTCCACAGACAACTGGGGAGTTGAGAGGGGTGTCACCATGGCAAAACCACCACCACGCATGGCCAGGGTGGACTGCAGGTCCTGCTGACTGCCCCAACCATCTGAGATGCTTCAGCCACCGAGGCTGAGGACAGGACAGGGAGCGAAGAGGACATACAGGAGGGAGCGAGCGGTGCCATAGGAAGGGCTTAGATGTACCAAATCCATCTCCCTCATCCCCTGGGCATGACCCACCACAGACACCCCCACGCTGCCCCACGGCTTGGGCTGGACCACAGCACCCTGCCTCCTCCTCCTCCTCCTCACACCCTCCCTGTGGCCACTCCACTCCTGAGCACAATGCCAAAGGCACAAAACCAAGGGCTGGAGGAACCTCGGCCCCATCTCCCCTCCTGGGGTGACCTCACCAACCTGCTCCCAGCCCACACATCACACACAGACCAAGGCACTTGCCAATGAGAGATAATCCCTCAGTCACTTAATTGCTTTAAAGAGAAGCAAAACATAAAGCATTAAACGCTGAAAGTGATAAGACTGAGTCACTTACCAGCCTGAGGAGGAGGGAACAGCCAGAACTGGGGACACTAAAGCCACCCCAGACCACGGTGGTGGTGAAGGAGCAGCACCAGCATCCACCCTGCTTTCAGAGGGTCTGCTCCCCCAGCACTGTGCTATATATCAATTACTTAATCACGGAGTGAGGGATCCCAATCAGCACCCGCTAATCATCCTAACGAAGCAGACCTGCTTCTGCTAGTTGCTGATGAAGCAGATTCTGATGGAGGGAGGGCTGCCCCCCATCCTGTCCCCCCCCAGCCCAGCTGATGGGGGTTGGCAGTCAGCTCTCCTGCCTGCTGGGCTTTGGGGTGGCTCTGCTGGCACCAGCTTTGCCCAGATCAATGTGCACACCAGGGCCACCATGTCACTCACAGCCTGTGGGGACCAGCGCTCCCTGCGTGTGGGTGTCCCAGCTTGCAGAGGCTGGGCAGCAGCGATGGAGGCAGCCGAGGAGTCCATGGGGTCCCTCATGACAATGCCACGTGCCAGAAGTGTGTCCCACAGCCCGCTGCTCAGCATCAGTGACTGCAGCTGGGATCCCACCAGCCATGGAGGCTGCATCCCAGCTCGGCTTGGAGCACAGGGGCCTGTTTCTGTGCCCACCATGGCAATGCTTCCCCACTGGAGCGGTCCGGGCACAGTGAGCTCACCCACCACCAGCAGCCATCTGTCCCCAGCCCTCCGGCCCTCGGAGCAGGAGGGACACGATGAAAGAGGCTCCTCTTATAAGAGCAGGCGCTGGGGCTGTGCAGGACCAGGAGCTCGCATGGGGACACAGGAATGGCTCCAGCAGGACAGAAGTGGCACCAGATCCCAGCAGCATCAGCCAGAAAAAGCCTGTGAAGCACCAGAAGCCACACATGGGTGTTGCAGGTTCTCCAGGAACCACCACCTCCTGTAGCAGGGATGCTAAGAAACCCTCTCATACACCAGCTGCGCTTATTATTTTTTTTTTGTGAGGTCTGTTTGTATTTAATTATCAAATTGCAAAGTATTTACACCAACATTAGAGTTTCAAAGCATCTCCACCCCCCACCACCCACAAAGCTGGACCTTTTCAGGTTTTTTTCCCAAAGTTTTATTATTATCCAAAAAAAAAAAAAAAAGAAAAACAAAGAAAAAAAAAAAGCTAAATATTTTACTTTGACACTGAAAAAGGCAGGTGGGGGGAGAGGGGAGCTGGGGAGAGAGACACAGATCCACATGTTCTCTGCATAGTCGGTTGGAGATCTTACAAAACACTGTTTAAAAAAAATGGTAACAGCAGAGGAGAGTAACTTGCAGGACGTTATTGACCCCGGGAAGCCAAAGAACATCCTTAGGTGGGGGCTCCCCTCTGGAGTTTATTGGCTTAAAAAATAAATTGGCAGACGACACTGGTGATGGAGGAGAGGTTCTGGGTCCCCGGGGCCTCCGGGTCGTGGCAGCTGCGTGGTGAGTCCGGAGATGCTGGGTCCCACCAAAACTGCTGCATGGACACAGGGATGGACACACGGACAGGCAGACACACAGCCCCCGGCCCCGCGCAGGGAGGTTCCTCTGGGATCTCTTTGCTGTCTTCTGCCCTGAAGTGTCCCCAGCACGTCTCCTTCGTCAGAGCTTGCCAAAAACCATGGGGATTAAAGCCAGCCCGGGGTGTTCCTTCCAGGAAGAGCCAGAAAATGAAATCTCCAGGTTCAGCCCGTCCCACTGCGCTCATGCAACACCCTGTACGTGCTGCAGACAACCAAAGGCCAAGCCTCAACATGTGCTCTTGCCTTCTCTCCCCAGCTTTCAGATCAAACGTGGCTCCCTCACCTTACAGTTTTAAGAGGTTTCTCCTGGGAATGGGGATTTTTGTATAATTTAGGCAGAGCTATGGCACAGGCCACCCCTCGGACCAGCTGCTGCGGGATGGAGCTTCTCTGGCAGTGCCAACGGGGACATGGCAGCCACCCGTCCCAGGGATGCAACCATGGGAAGACCCAGAGGTTTGGAGAGTCCCTGTCCAAGCACAGAAGTGCAGGCACGGCAAATCTGCTAGGAAGTGGGGGGAAAAAACGCTCCAAGTCCCAAAATGATTAAAAAAAATCCATTAAACCAGCTGCTGTTCTTCAAGCCAGCAAAGACAGGATCTCTCCGTCCCACTGAAGAGCCCATTCAAGCTGATTTTAAAGGTTTTACTCATTAAAAAGGAGCCACCCACCAACCAAGGGGGCACTCGGTTCATAAATAAGTGGCCGGGGAGCTGTGGGAGTGAGCGGGGGGCAGTGGTGTGCCTGGACAGGGGTTTGGGGAGAGAGGGGGCTTTGGCCACCCCCCTGCCCATGCTTGGCTCCCACCCAGCTTTCATGGGACACTGGCACCATGGTGGGGCCTGGTGAGAGGGGGTTTGGGTCTGCTGCCTGCAAGGAGGCTGTGCCGGAGGGAAACCCCATCCCACAACCCATGGAGAGGCAAAAAAACCCCAGAGCTTGAGGACCAAGAGGTGGGCAAAGCTGCTGGCTCCCCTTCTCCAGGTCCTTCCTGATGGCACCCTTGCCCTGCAGCATCCCCTGCCCCACAGGATCCTCCAGCCTCATCCCACCCTTGGACCAGGAGAGCATCCAAAGAGCCCTCAGGTCTTTCTGGGCAAGAGGCACTGAGGGTGGCTGGGACCCGAGAGATGAGGAAGCAAAGCCTTGTGATCCTCCGTGGCGAAGGGTTTCCAGCTGGGTACAGCCTCGGGGTGGGGGGCAAAACCAACACATGCAACTAATTCAACGTTTGGGAGGGTGTGGGGGCTGCTCAAGGGCTATGTACAAGGCAGGTGCTGGGCAGGAGAGCACAGACGGGCACAGATAACTACCCACCCACCACCGAAACGTGGCTGAGGGCTTGGGGGGCAAACAGGGGGCAGATAAGAAGGCAAAAGTCTCCCGTGTGGCACAGTGGCTTCCCAGGACTCTCCTTTGGGATGACAGCCCGTGGTTAGGGATGCTCCCACCACGTGGGCAACAAAGCCCAGCAGCCAAGACACGAGGGGTGGGGCGGGAGGCAGCTAAAAACGTACCTGGTGGACAAAAGCATCCGTGAAAGACAAGTATTTCCCCCAAAACACTCCCACACCTTGAAGAACCACCCCTGCCGTGCACCTGAGCCCCGTGGTGGCACTGGATTTGGTGGCAGGGCCAGCCTGGGGGGACTCTGCTGGTGGGAAAGCTGGTGGCAGAGCCGGGGAGGGTGGCTCAGGGGGGGAGGGCTGTGGTGCACTTCCCAAGGGGCCAGCTGGAAGACCAGGACTAGCCACAGGCAGGGCAAGGACTCTGCTGGCACCCCTCGGTGCCGCTCCCAGGAGACATGAGACCGGTCCCCTGGGGGGACAGACACAGCTGGAAGACTCGAACGTGCACCCAGGGGATGGTGATGGTCACCAAAGCCACGAGCAGCCACGTTTCATACCCCCAGTGCCCGTTAGCACAGCTCAGAGCCCTGCCGTGGCCAGGCTGGAGGGACACCTGAGGAAGGGGGACCACCAGCATCCTGCTGCCACCCCACGCTGGCACCACCACCCCAGCACATCACCCCATCCAAACCAGCTTCTGCCTTCCCCGTGGCGAAACGTCTCTGCCAGCACCCTCGGGAGAACAGGAGCCAAGGGGGGGACGTTGGGGAGGGCGAAGGGGCAGGGAAATTTGTGCTGATTTAGAGAAGGGGGTGTAGGAGGCCGGGGCCAGTGTGTCCGAGGTTGGGGGGTGCTGCCCCTCAGTTCCTCTGAGCTCAGCCCAGAGTTGCCGGGGGGGGGAAAAAGGTCTCCCAAAAGCCAAGTCTCCCGGTGGGAGATGCTCCTCTCGCCCTCCCGAGACGGTCTCGCTGGTGCCCGCAGGCTCCTCTCGCTCGCGGGACGGTGCCGCTTCGTTAAACACAGGCCAGAAGTCTTAAGGAGTGACGGGGGGGGACCCAGCTCCTCCCCTGGCCGCATCCGGAGGCGATGCCCCATCCTGCTCCGGGGCTGCTCCGCAAAAACCGGCCCCTCAGCGGGGAGGCCAGCCCTCGGCGCCCGGCGGCGAGGACGGCAGCGTCCCTGGTGCCAGGAGGAGCTCCGGGTCTATAGGTTCTCGCCAGGCTGGTACTGGGGCTCTGTCGAGGTGAAGTAGTCCTCCAGGAAAGCCTGCAGGTACTCGAAGGTGGGTCGCTCCTCCGGGTCCTTCCGCCAGCACTGGCACATGAGGTCGTGCAGGGACTCGGGGCACTCGGGCGGGCAGGGCATGCGGTACCCCCGCTCCACCTGGTCCAGCACCTCCCGGTTCACCATCCCTGCGTGCGGGCAGAGACACAGTCAGAGAGGGGCCAGGTTTCACTGAATTTCACTGAGAGTTGGAAGGGACCATAGAGATCATCTAGTCCAACTCCCCTGCTAAAGCAGGACCACCCAGAGCATGTCAGATCATGCCACTCAGGACTGCATCCAGGCGGGTCTTGAAAATCTCCAAAGAAGGGGACTCCACACCCTCCCTGGGCAGCCTGTTCCAGGGCTCTGCCACCCTCACCGTGAAGAAGTTTTTTTCTCATATTTGAGTGGAACCTCTTATGTTCCAACTTGTGCCCGTTGCCCCTCATCCTGTCACTGGGAACCACTGAAAAGAGTCTGGTTCCCTCCTCCTTCAACCCTCCCTTGAGATACTTGTCAGCATTAATAAGGTCCCCCCTCAGCCTTCTCTGCTCCAGACTAAAGAGTCCCAGCTCTTTCAGCCTCTCCTCATAAGGGAGATGCTCCAGTCCTTGAATCATCTTTGTAGCCCTACACTGGACTCTTTCCAGTAGTTCCCTGTCCCTCTTGAACTGGGGAGCCCAGAACTGGACGCAGGATTCCAGTTGTGGCCTCCCCAGTGCAGAGCAGAGGGGCAGAATGACCTCCCTTGACCTGCTGGCCACACTCTTCCCTCTGCAGCCCAGGATTCCATTGGCCCTCCTGGCTACAAGAGCACACTGTTTGCTCATTGTCATTTTGTTGTCCACCAGCCTTACAGGCAACCCCAGTGACCTCCCCCAGGGAAAGAGGGACCCCCAGCCCAGCAGCACGTGTCACCTTGCTGAGGGAGCAGAGTGGGACAGGGCAGCTGGGACCCTGCACCCTGGCACCAGGGCACAGCGATGGGGAGGGGGTTTCTGCTGGCGTGGGTGCCAGCCCTCACCTGGGTACGGCACTCTGCCCTTGGTGGTCAGCTCAGTCAAGAGGATGCCAAAGGACCAGACGTCCGACTTGATGGTAAACCTGCCGTACAGAGCAGCTTCGGGGGCTGTCCACTTGATGGGGAACTTCGCACCTGGATGGAGAAGGAGGGTCAGAGTCTGCTCCCAGCCCCACAGGGCCTGAGGGCACATGGGCTTCGAGTGCCTCCAGGACCCCCATGTAGGCCATGTGCTGGCTCCAGATGCAACGCAGACGCCTGGAGATCGGGGACCACGGTGTGGCCACTGCTCTGGTCCCACCTGCCAAGGACCTGAGGACCTGCCTGCGACCTGCCCACGGTGCCAGCAGCCCCGGGCACACACCTTGCCGAGCGGTGTACTCGTTGTCCTCGATGAGCCGTGCCAAGCCAAAGTCAGCCACCTTGCACACCAAGTTCTCCCCCACCAGGATGTTGGCTGCCCGGAGGTCCCGGTGGACGTAGTTCATCCTCTCCACATAGGCCATGCCAGATGCGATCTGCGGGGCCCAAAACACGGGGCATTGAGGCTGATGGGGTGACATGAGGGTCCCCAGGGAGGACCTGGCTCTGAAGAGGTGAACAGCTCTGCAGTGGGACCCAACACAGGGTGGAGGAGCAGCTGGTTGCTCAAGAAAACCCATGGAGACACAGATTTGCTGGCCAGAGAGAATGGGCAGCAACGGGAACGGGCAAAGTGATGGTCCCTGATGCAACCCAGCTCTGGGCTGAGCACCCAGAGGAGATGGTGGCACCCAACCCAAGTCAAACGAGCCTGTGGAGCACCCCACCACCCTGCCACCCAACAGCCACGACAGCCCAGTGAGGAGCTGGGGCAGCCTGCGCCCTCGGAGGGGGACACAGGAGACCCAGGGATGCACAAACCCACCTGAGCTGCCATATCCACGAGCTGGGGCAGCCGCAGGTACTTGCCCATCTCACCCTTCAGGAAGTCCAGGAGGCTCCCTGCGAGGAAGACCACAGTCATGGCACAATCCAGAGGAGCAGAGCCCCTTGGTTGACCCCCCCCCCAGCATCCCTCCTGTGCTCACCCTTGCTCATGTACTCGGTGACGATATAAATGGGCTCCTCTGAAACCACGGCGTAGAGCTGGACCAGCTTCTCATGCCGGAGCTTCTTCATCACCTGGGCTTCCTGCAGGAAGGCCTCTGGGGACATGGTGCCGGGCTTCAGAGTCTTGATTGCCACCCGGGTCGTGCCGTTCCAGGTCCCTGAGGCACAGGACATGCAGCTCAGGACACATTTATGGAGCACAGGGCCGTGTCTCTGCGTGCTCCCCCACCCCACTGCAGGCTCTGGGCACCTGCAGGTGGCTGGAGAGAGGATGCAGGTGGTGACACCAAGGGGGACAGCGGGGCGGGAGCAGTCCTTACCCATCCACACCTCTCCGAAGCAGCCCTGTCCCAGCTTGACCTCCAGCCGCAGCGATTCCCGGGGGATCTCCCAAGCATCCTTGGCGAGGCCTTGGGTCTGGGGCTTGGACGTGGGGCAGACGTTGGTGAGACGGTGGCACAAGCCATCGGCGTGTTCTAACGCAGGAGGGGACAACACCAAGGTGACACTTAGGCACTTAGGCACATAATGTCCTTACCCCACATCTCCCTTGGAGACCAGTACCCAAACCCTCACCCTCTTCCCTAAAACCCAACCAGCTTTTCACCAGGGTCCCCCCCAGCTGGTTTGGAGCCCCCCAACAGCATCTACCCTGCAGTGAGGGCAGGCACAAGCACCCCGGGCGACACCCACACCCCAAGGGGACCCCAAGTGGCTACTCACTGGAGTAATAGGCCACCAGCTGCTGCAGGCTGTTGAACTGGGTGCGGGAGGTGATGTAGAAGCCACCACTGTCCAACTTGCGGATCTTGTAGTGCTTCACGTTGAGCCCCTTGGCGTTGTCGAAGTCAGAGACAGAGAGGCAGTAGGCACCTGCAGGCAGGGATGAGAGGTTGAGGGGAGATGTGCCACAGATGGGTGCTCCCCACAGGATCCCCACGGAGCGTGCCCCCCCAGGCTGGCACCGAGGAAGAGAGCCCACTGGGTTTGAGGGGTCCCAGAGGGCAGGAGAGTGATCAGCCCCTGGGGCAAAGGGATGAACATGGGAAAGAGGGGATGCTGAAGCAGGGGGAGGGGACCCAACAGGAGGCAGGCTGGGGGGTGCTTGCTGACCCACAACCCCAACATCTCAGAAGGGAGCCAAGGGGCTGGTGGGCCCAGCTCTCCGCTCCACAAATCCCACCGTGGGCATCACTTCGGGTGCCAGGGCTCTCTGCCCACACGAGAGCAACACCACGCTGCTGGGGCCCCAAAAAATGACAGGGAAGATTTATGCCACTGCTTGAATGAGTTGTTTCCACCACAACAAAATAAACAGTGGCAAGCTCAAGGCATCAAAACAGAAAGGAACACCAAGGAACTTTTCCCCAAAGGTGCATTTGGAGCCACACTAAACCATGTTTCCAGGTAAGAAACAGCATCCTCAGGCAGCCAAACTGCAAAGATCACAACTCACACTTTCAGGAGGCACAAAACAAGCACTGAGTTGTTAGACATGAAAGAAAAACCTAAAGATTCAACGGTGCCTCTGCCTGGTTGCCCAGGAAGGGCACGTTCAAGATTTTGCCACTCTACAGGGACAAGGAAAAAATAAAAAATGTCTACCTGGGGGTGTTAAAAAAACCCAAACCAAAACAGGGACATGGAGCATCCTGGCTGGTGGTCCTGCTGGAGCTGGTGGGGCACCCGGCTCCCACCCTGCCATGAGCTGAACCATCTCTCTGAAGGGTGACCACTGGGCAGGCAGCGCAGGAGAGAAGTGGCTGTGTCCCTCCAGCCCTACAGGCTTGGGGGTTTGCCATAAAGATGTCTCCTCCTGCTCCCCAAAGCCAGCACTAGCAGGAGAGACCCCAGGATGGTCCCCCTGCTGAGGGGCATCGCTCAGTGACCCCGAACATCGGCTTCTGTCTACAAGGTATGACTCCTTTCTCCTTCTCCCTCCCCGTGCGCCTGAGCTGGGGGAACTGGGACTGCATAGAGTGACCCAGGGGACTGGGGTCCCCATGCGGATGCCCCCCTGCCACCCAGCTGCCCCCCCCCAAGCCCTGCTCACCTTTCGTGGTCTCGCTCTCCCGTACCAGGAAGGTCCCTCGGGGGTTGACGATATAAATGGGCTCCTCTGAAACCACGGCGTAGAGCTGGACCAGCTTCTCATGCCGGAGCTTCTTCATCACCTGGGCTTCCTGCAGGAAGGCCTCTGGGGACATGGTGCCGGGCTTCAGAGTCTTGATTGCCACCCGGGTCGTGCCGTTCCAGGTCCCTGAGGCACAGGACATGCAGCTCAGGACACATTTATGGAGCACAGGGCCGTGTCTCTGCGTGCTCCCCCACCCCACTGCAGGCTCTGGGCACCTGCAGGTGGCTGGAGAGAGGATGCAGGTGGTGACACCAAGGGGGACAGCGGGGCGGGAGCAGTCCTTACCCATCCACACCTCTCCGAAGCAGCCCTGTCCCAGCTTGACCTCCAGCCGCAGCGATTCCCGGGGGATCTCCCAAGCATCCTTGGCGAGGCCTTGGGTCTGGGGCTTGGACGTGGGGCAGACGTTGGTGAGACGGTGGCACAAGCCATCGGCGTGTTCTAACGCAGGAGGGGACAACACCAAGGTGACACTTAGGCACTTAGGCACATAATGTCCTTACCCCACATCTCCCTTGGAGACCAGTACCCAAACCCTCACCCTCTTCCCTAAAACCCAACCAGCTTTTCACCAGGGTCCCCCCCAGCTGGTTTGGAGCCCCCCAACAGCATCTACCCTGCAGTGAGGGCAGGCACAAGCACCCCGGGCGACACCCACACCCCAAGGGGACCCCAAGTGGCTACTCACTGGAGTAATAGGCCACCAGCTGCTGCAGGCTGTTGAACTGGGTGCGGGAGGTGATGTAGAAGCCACCACTGTCCAACTTGCGGATCTTGTAGTGCTTCACGTTGAGCCCCTTGGCGTTGTCGAAGTCAGAGACAGAGAGGCAGTAGGCACCTGCAGGCAGGGATGAGAGGTTGAGGGGAGATGTGCCACAGATGGGTGCTCCCCACAGGATCCCCACGGAGCGTGCCCCCCCAGGCTGGCACCGAGGAAGAGACCCCACTGGGTTTGAGGGGTCCCAGAGGGCAGGAGAGTGATCAGCCCCTGGGGCAAAGGGATGAACATGGGAAAGAGGGGATGCTGAAGCAGGGGGAGGGGACCCAACAGGAGGCAGGCTGGGGGGTGCTTGCTGACCCACAACCCCAACATCTCAGAAGGGAGCCAAGGGGCTGGTGGGCCCAGCTCTCCGCTCCACAAATCCCACCGTGGGCATCACTTCGGGTGCCAGGGCTCTCTGCCCACACGAGAGCAACACCACGCTGCTGGGGCCCCAAAAAATGACAGGGAAGATTTATGCCACTGCTTGAATGAGTTGTTTCCACCACAACAAAATAAACAGTGGCAAGCTCAAGGCATCAAAACAGAAAGGAACACCAAGGAACTTTTCCCCAAAGGTGCATTTGGAGCCACACTAAACCATGTTTCCAGGTAAGAAACAGCATCCTCAGGCAGCCAAACTGCGGACCTCACAACTCACACTTTCAGGAGGCACAAAACAAGCACTGAGTTGTTAGACATGAAAGAAAAACCTAAAGATTCAACGGTGCCTCTGCCTGGTTGCCCAGGAAGGGCACGTTCAAGATTTTGCCACTCTACAGGGACAAGGAAAAAATAAAAAATGTCTACCTGGGGGTGTTAAAAAAACCCAAACCAAAACAGGGACATGGAGCATCCTGGCTGGTGGTCCTGCTGGAGCTGGTGGGGCACCCGGCTCCCACCCTGCCATGAGCTGAACCATCTCTCTGAAGGGTGACCACTGGGCAGGCAGCGCAGGAGAGAAGTGGCTGTGTCCCTCCAGCCCTACAGGCTTGGGGGTTTGCCATAAAGATGTCTCCTCCTGCTCCCCAAAGCCAGCACTAGCAGGAGAGACCCCAGGATGGTCCCCCTGCTGAGGGGCATCGCTCAGTGACCCCGAACATCGGCTTCTGTCTACAAGGTATGACTCCTTTCTCCTTCTCCCTCCCCGTGCGCCTGAGCTGGGGGAACTGGGACTGCATAGAGTGACCCAGGGGACTGGGGTCCCCATGCGGATGCCCCCCTGCCACCCAGCTGCCCCCCCCCAAGCCCTGCTCACCTTTCGTGGTCTCGCTCTCCCGTACCAGGAAGGTCCCTCGGGGGTTTTCGGGGTTGAGCAGCAGCCGCTCGGACTCACGGCGAGTGATCTTCCCAAAATACCACCTGCCAGAGCAAGGCAGCAGCTCAGCGCCCAGCACTCGCCCGCCCCCTCCATCGCCTGTCCAACCCACCCCCCCCAGGCTGCAGGTTTTGGAGACCATGGGCTGCATCTCCAGGCTCAGGCACCCTGGGCTGGGCATTGCCCAAGGAGCAACCATGGACCACATAACGCTTTCACTCCAAAAGCCTCCTCAAATGAGGGGCTCCAGGGACCCCTGAAGCCCCCTGAGCTCATGCTGGCCAGGCCACTGGCTTGGGACAGGCCGTGAAGACGTGGCTGGCACCTCCTGCTCTTGGACTTATGGCCAGCTTTGCCCCTGCCTGCTCTCCCTGTGTGATGGTCGCCTCCGTGCTCAGCCCGATCCACGGAGGCAGCAGCATCCTCACACACGGATGTGTGTCCGTGCAGAAGAGTGAAAACCAGACCCAAAGCATCAGGTCCACCACGGCCCCCCTGCCCACGCCACCGCTCATCCCTCCACCGCGCAAGCACGCCGTGCCTCTGCACTTCACGGGCCTCAAAGAAAGGCTGGAAAACTTTGAAAGTGTTTGCTAATCCCAGAAAGAAAAATAACTAAGAGAAGAAACCCAGAGGCCTTGCAGGTTTTGCCCCGGAGAGGGGCAGGGGGAGGGAGGGAGGAGGGCTCGGGGTGCGTTTGCTATCGCTCGGCTTTAAACTGTCTCAAAGATGGCAATTACTCTTCAGCCTGGATGGAGTCTGAGGGCGCGACATAGTTACTGGGGATGTAGCCCGTCTGTCCTGTAGTGAGGGAATGAGCCAGCCACCAGTCACCTTCCCTGCAAGAGAACCAAAACACACTCAGTGTGAAGCCAGGAGCCCCCCCTGGCCAGACCCTCTCCTGCCCACAGAGCCCCACTGGAGAGAGATGCAGCCCCCGCAGCCCCGAGGGCTCCTGCTGCCAGCCCCTGCCTGTGGCTCTGTCTGGGCAAGCTTGGGGCCACCCATACCCATCCGCATCTGGGATGCTTTAAACTTAAACGGGGCTGGGCAGCCAGCGAGCCAAAACACCTTCGGAGCCACCTGAATGCCAGCAGGGTCTGGCTGGAGGTTGAGGGGCATTGGGGATCCGAGGCAGCAGGGAGCAACAGGCGAGGTGGAGGGAAGGGAAACCGGGAAAAGCCACAGCACGACGGCAGCGATTAAAAAAAAGCACCAGGAAAACCCAAGAGAAAGCATTTGTTAAACACACAGGCTGCAGAAAAGCACCGGGAAAGGCTGAGATTTGGATGGAGAGGGGGGATGCCCAGCCTGGATGCTGTGGGCTCCGTCCAGCCCAGGCACGTTACCTCCAGCTCCAGGACGGGCACCCTGCATGGCCACAGCCCCTGACCACCTGCAGTCCCAGCAAGGGCTACAACTGCTGACACAGAGCCACACACACCCGCTGTGCTGGCCCCACGGCCCCCAGCACGGCTCTCCCCCACAGTGTCCCCAAAAACCCAGGGCTGACCCACTGTCCCTCCTTCCCTGGGCACGGTGGTCCCAAGAATGTCCCCAGGAGCTGGTGGGGTGCAGGAGCCATCTCACTGCTCTGCCCTCCTCCCCATGGGCTCCTGCACGGGACGGGGCAGGAAGGGACAATAAATAGAGAACAACAAGACGGCAGGAGGCAGCTTCCCCTTCCCCACAGACAGCAGGGCTTCCTCCCACCACCTGCATCTTCTCACCCATCAAAGACAGACAGAGTCACCTAATTTATCCTGACCACGGGGGAGACGAGGCTACAGGAAAACTGCAGAGCTGTGGGAACGCAAGAACTTGGCAGGATGACCTCCAGAAACACTACAGAAAAACCTTAATAACCTCAATCACCACGGCAAGACCCCATCAGACCACATCCAGACCTATTCCCCGACCCCTGCAGTCGTGTAAACCTCCATCCTCGCCCCAGAAACACCAGCAGTCCTGACTTTTGCCTGTCCCAGCTAAACCAGTGATGCTTTGAAGTGGCTGGCAGAAGCTGGACACAGTCCCCAGCTTCCTATGCTGGTGCCAGCAGGGTCAGAGAAAGCAGGAACCCTCCAGGCATCTTCATCCAACCACACAGCCAGGCTCTGCTGCTCACCCAGAGCCAGTCCCCAGTTTCACAGTTGCCCCAACTGGTATTTTAACTTCTCCAGGTCCTGGCGCATCTCCTGGCAGGTAGCCTGGGCTCCCCAGCTAGAGCTGCTGCCCCAGTCACCTTTACTGGGGTGGCTCCGAAGGGGACAGGACGCTGGTTGGGCCCCTTTCCCACGAGACCGGAGAAAACATCTGCTTGAGAAATGCCCAGCTTTTGACTTGTGGCTTTATTCCAGCTCGGGCTGCAAGCTGGGAATTCGGCAAAAACAAACTATTCCAAAAATGTCTCCGTGGGGAAAAAAAAAATAATAATAATCATCATCATCAAAACAAAGCATTTCAACAATTCCCTGCACAATCTTACCCAAAATATCCCACCACATCCTTGCTGGCCGCCAACTGGCTGGGAGGAGACCTCCTCCTGCTGGAAATGGTACCACGAGAGCCCTTCTGCTCTGGGGTGGATGGATCTGGCCCCATCTCAGGGGGGGCAGAGGGTCCCCACAGATGGCCTGGGCTTTGCTGGGGCGCAGGACCAGGGAGGTGACCCATGTGGAGGCTTCTCCTCTCATCCTGCACAACCCCAGCCCCGTTGGAGCAGCCAAAACCCACTGGTGGCCGGTTGTCCCCATGGCCACGGGCTGCTGCTGTGCCTGGGCTGACCCCAAACACCTCCCCACTGCTCCAGGGCACCGACTGCCCTCCCAAGGAGCTCAGGGGAAGGGGACACTGCCTTTTGCTGTCCCCAAAGCATGGCAGCCCCAGTTGCTCCTGGACCATCTGAGCATCTCTGGGCACTCAGCAAAAAGAGATATTTACCCCACCACCACCACGAGCACTACACAAACTGCACATCTTTCTCCACCCCCTCTCTCCCTATGGACATCCCACCCAGGCAGCCACAGCAGACACCAGGAAGGTCAGCAGCTGGATCCTGCACCCTCCACCCATGGGCTGCATGGCCAAAAAAAGGTCCTTTTGCTCCCCAGGGTGTTGCAGGGTCCATTGCATCCCCATCCTTCCCTCTGACCAAGCCTTTGACAAACAACAGCAGAAGAGAAAAATGAGTATGGAAACCCCAGAAGGGACTTAAGGCATAAAGAAAAAAAGTCCTCATACATGGACACGATCCGGACCCTCAATGGGCAGAGCTGACTCTGTAACAGCCCACACCAGAACCCAAGCCTGGGGGCTAGCACGCTGCTGAGGCTGTGAAAGCAAGAAGCACCAACCCCCCCAAAATCAAGCTTTTCCTGCAGCGTTGAAGCCTTGCACACCCTGGACTTCATGGATTAAATCAATCGCCGTTAACAAAGAGCGGTGGAACAAGAAGAACGAGGATCAGATTGAAAACACCTTTGTGCAACGCTGCCTGACCATTGCAGGAGAAGTACCAGCCCCAGGATGTTCCCTCCTCTTCCCACCCTTTGACTTTGCAGAGCTGGTTTGGGTGCCCAGGTTGGAAGGTGGCAGTGGAGGGGCCAGCAGGAGGTGCAGACCCCAGGGACCCCTGTGGCAGCGGCTCTGCCAGCCAGCCCTCCAGCAGAGCAGACAAAGGATGCTGCAGACCAGGAGTGCCAGGACAGACCACACGTGGGTTCAATGATCATATTTTAGGAGCATCTTCCAGCTGGTCACACTGCCCAGCTCCACGCAGCAAGTGATGGGTGCGCTGCTACGACAGGGATGGAGAGCAAACAGGCAGGAGCCAGACCCCTCAGGGAGCGCTTCAGCCCCCTGAGCCGCTCACAAAAAACAAAAATTAAATAAAAAATATGCAAAAATAAACACAAAAAAGGCCAGGCAGGAGCAGACAGATGACTGAAAAGGGGTGCCAGGCACAGGCAGGGAAAGCTGGGCAGGTTCAGAGCTCCTGGGTGCAGACACAGCTCTGGATGGAGCGGTTCCCAGGATGGGAAGGGGTTCCCCGCTCTGCCCTGGTCACTCAGAGAGGACAGACCCAACCAACCCCAAAACCACCGGGCAACCATCTCCTCCCAGGCCCGCTCCATCCAACCTCAGGGGCAGCAGATGAGCTTTTATTATTAAGGATTGTTAATAATAATAGTAATAATCTGCCATACACACCTGACGTCCACTTTTCTCCTAATCGACAGCATGGCACAGAGGAGAGAAAAAAAGAGTCAAGAGAGAAGCTGAGATCAGAGACACCGTGCAAGCACAGGGGAAAGCACCCGTGAAGTTGAGGAGATGTGTCCAGGCAAACGGGAGGGAGCTGAGTGCTGATGGGGACAGGGGACCGATGGGGACAGGGGACCGACGGGGACACAGCCCCACATTGGAGGGCACGGACTGGCCAGCAAGCAGAGGAGGTGGCTTGGTGACAAGGCTGCAAGGCAACGATGACCAGCCCCGGGGCCAGGAGGACGCGGGAGAAGGTCAACGATTGTCTCCAGCACTGATGTCCTTGGACAAGTCGCTGCGTCCATGCCAGTTTTGGCACATCCCTCTTTGAGCACATCCCCGGGGAGAGCTGGCCCTGCCAGGGCTGGGCTTGGGGGCTCCGCAGGAGGGACCCAGGTGGCAGCTGGACCCATGGGGGCTTGGCTACAGTGGCAGGGACACTCACGTGTTGTTTACGATCTGCAGGCGCTCTCCTTTCTTGAAGGACAAGTCCGTTTCGGTCCGAGACTCGTAGTCGTAGAGGGCCACGAAGGTGGTGACTCCACCTGTGAGAGAGACCACTCAGGATGGGCACAGCACTGGGTGCCCCTCGCCAGGGACCCTCTTCTCCTCCCACCAGCCGACACGACACACATCTGCTCCCCCTCCAGCTGAAAGACAGAGTCCCTCAAAAGCAGGAGACACCACCATCACAAGAAGAAGCTGGAACCAAACCCACTACGACCCAACCGATAACCCACCCCCCTTGCCCCAGCGAGCCCCAGCCCACACCAACCAGCCAGCGCCCCAGCACGCTGCGGTGAGGTGACCGTGTCAGAGGTGTTGAAGCCTCCAAAGAGCTTGGACTCGGCAGCCATGGTCCCGAAGGAGCGGCTGGGGGTGCGATGGGTGTCGGGAGCGGCCGCCTTGCTGGGTGTCTGCGAGGCCGGGTAACCCCCGTGGTGGGTGTTGTCGGTGGGCTCCAGGCTGCGCCGGCGCTGGCTGGGGTCTTTGGGTTTGCTCTTGCTGCTCCCCATGGTCCTGGGCTGCGGGAGACAGACACACATGCATAGGGCTTCTTTTATTATTATTATATTATTATTATTATCATTATTATTATTATTAAGCTGCCTTCCAGGGCTTGTGTGACAGACGCCTGCCCACTAGGAAGCGAAACAAACTTCTGGAGTCTGTTCGAGCTTCAGCTGCCGGAAAGTCTGCCCATCCTGCCCTTGCCCTGGGACAACATTGTCCCTCATTAAGGCCAAGGCACCTCCCGCGTGGCCGCATTGCCCCCGCGGCGCCGGGAGCGGGGCTGCCAGGGCGAGTTTTGGGAGCAGAGGGAAGCACGTTCAGCCCCGGGAGGGAGGATGCCGAGCGTGCAGCCTGGACTGGTGCTCGGGAGGGCGACTGCGGATGCTCTGGGGCCAGGGACCTGCCATGGGGTGCAGCTCAGCATCCCATACAGCCACATTCCCTCCTACACGAGGCTTTCTACCAGGGCATGGACAGGAGAAGATAACTCCCAGATGAATATTCACGAGTTTGGATTACTCCAGGTTTGGAGAAGCCATAGGTGCCTCGCTCTACTCACTCAGGGTGAGGATTTAAATGCTCAGGATGCTCCTGTGAGGATTTAAATGCTCAGGATGCTCCTGTGAAGTCCAAAAAGTGCAGCGAATGGGCTAAAAGTTTAAATCAGGAGCACTTTCAGGCATTTAGCAGCTAAGGACCAGGGGATCTCAGCTTTATATATAGTCATGCCTCCCTTTCCACTCAAGATCACGCTCTATAAATACCTTCAAGGTAACGATATAAATGAAGGAAGGGAATTATTTGCAGTCTCCAAAGATGGCAGGATACCCAGCAGTGTCCTGAAGCTATGGAAGAAAATATGCTGGATCACGCATGGCAGGAGGGAAAAGGGAGGTGGAGACAACCAGGGAGGAGAGTATCTCTGATAAGAAAAAACAAGCAGGGAAGGAGCAGAGGAGGCAGCCGCTGCCTGTGGGGTGTGGAGCTGGATGCAGCCACCTGTGAGGCTTTGCTGAGGGCTCAGCCTCACCCAACAGATGGTTCTTCTAACCCAGCTTTCAAGAGAAGCTCGGGTCGAGCCCCCATGAGCGGGGCCAGAACCACGGGGCAGCTCCAGCAGCCTGCACAGCCCTGCTGTCAGTGGGGCAGAGCCCACCAACTCCAGTTTAGGGGTGCCTGGCACAGGCTCTGCTCCCCTCCCCACTCCTCACCCCACGATGAGGGCTTTGCCTGACCATCAGGGCTTATTTTCCAAAGGACCTACTATTTTCCAGCTCCCAAATCACACAGATGACCAGCAGCATCCCCTGTCCTGCTTCCCCACAGGTTTGCTTCAGCTGCAACCCTGCTGGGGGGACCAGACCCCGCCAGGGCTTGGGAACTGGAATAAACTGATTTTTTCGGGCAGGGCACAGCTATGGCAGCCACTCCGGCAGGGAGAGGAACTGTCCTTCCTCCTACGTATGCAGGCTGTGAGGAGGGACCGATGCTCTATCTGCCACGGAGCTCAGCCCACGCAGATCTGTGCGAGGCTTTGGGGGCCTTGGAGAAAAGGAAGGTCAAATATAAACTTGGCATTTGCAAATCGTCACTGACAGCAACCCTTAGGCATAGCCTGCCCCGAAGGGAATCACAGAATGGTTAGAGTTGGAAGGGACCTTAAAGATCATCCAGTTCCAACCCCCTGCCCTGGCCAGGGACACCTCCCACCAGACCAGGTTGCTCCAAGCCCCGTCCAACCTGGGCTTGAACCCCTCCAGGGATGGGGCAGCCACAGTTTCTCCGGGCAACCTGTTCCAGCGTCTCACCGCTCTCACAGGAAAGAATTTCTTCCTGATTCTAACCTAAATCTCCCCTCTTCAATTTAAAACCGTTACCCCTTGTCCTGTCACTGCACTTCCTGGCAAAGCATCCCTCTCCAGCTCTCCTGGAGGCTCCCTCCAGATATTGGAAGGCTGGTCAGATATTGGTGGGCTGGGAAGGAGGTCTGTCCTGTAAATAAACGGACTTTTAGGACCCGGGTGCAGAAGATGCTACAGCAGAACTGGGGTGGGGGGGAGCAGGACCTTAGAAATGATGAGAAAAAGCCCCAACCCCAGCTAAGAAAAGCCAACCCCCCCCGTCCCCCGGCCAGCCCTTCGCTCACCTCCGCCGGGGGGCTCCGCACCCGCTGGTATTCCCGGGATGGCAGCGCGGGGAGGGAAGCGGGGGCACGGCGGGGCTGTGACCGCCCGGCTTGTGACTGCCCACGGGACCGTGAGCAAGGGGGGGCAGCCGCTCAGAGTTTCCCCTGGAAGCAGCACTTCCCCAGGCAGGAAAACACCCCGGCCGGGGCGGCGCCTTCAAGAGGCATTTTGGGGACACGAAAGCGTCCCCTGAGCGCACCCCGCGGGGCTGCCAGCCTGGCCAACCTGGCTCGGCCACTGAGAAAAATCAAGAGTATAAAATAGTCAATATGCCTAGAGATTTGGCAGGAGCAGAGCACAGAAAGGGGAGGTTGGGTCCCCCAGGCACTTCCCCGATGTCCCCAAAGCAGGGGACCCCTCTCCTTCACACCCGTTGACCTGCAGGGACAGGACATGCATCCTCCAAGCGTGTCCCAGCCAGGAACCCTGTGGACCAACGGTTCATCCCTCCTTGTGCAGTGGTTTTTGGGGAGGGAGAGCTCTCAAAACACACATCACAAGCTCCCAGCTCGGGCCTGGGTCCTATCCAGCGTGTCCCAGCCAGGAACCCTGTGGACCAACGGTTCATCCCTCCTTGTGCAGTGGTTTTTGGGGAGGGAGAGCTCTCAAAACACACATCACAAGCTCCCAGCTCGTGCCTGGGTCCTATCCCTCCTCGGTGAGGGCTTTGCTGGGTCTGTGCTGCTCGCCTGCAGCTTGAAGATGGGAGAGGAGGAGAAAGAGGAGGAAGAGGAGGAGGGGCCTGGGTCCTATCCCTCCTCGTCGAGGGCTTTGCTGGGTCTGTGCTGCTCTCCTGCAGCTCGAAGATGGGAGAGGAGGAGAAAAAGGAGGAGGAGGAGGAGGCAGGAGCCCACAGTCCTCTGGGCAAGGGGCTGCAGAGCAGTGAGCCCTGCTCCTGTTGCCACCAGCTTTGCACCTCCACACACACTACTTTGGGTTGGGCTAGTGCAAAAGGCAGGCTGGCAACCCCAAAACCTGCCCAGAGGTACTGGCAGCCTCACACCATCCCCACTCTAAGTCCCAGGTAACTCAGCCAAAGTGACCGTGTGGTTTTAACCCTGCAGCTGCCCCAGGGTTGGTGGGGGGGGGCATTCCCCACCTGCCCCCAGGGAGGAGAGGGGGGTCCTGCAGCCCCCACATGGCTGCCTTGGCCACCAGTGGGGAAAGGGTGCAAATTCCCCTGGGAAGGATGCATGGGGTTGTGTCAGAGAATTATTAATGAGTCAGGGAGTTATTAACAACGGCAGGTCCCTGAAGAGGGGGAAGAGGGGCCACAAACCACTGGGAGAGACCCCCCCTGCCTCTCGCAGAGCCAGCGACCAAAAAACCCCCGGATCCGAGGGGCAGAGAAGGAAGTGGATGAACCCACCACCGGGCTTCCAGCACAGCCCAGCAGCACCACTGGGAGCTGTGGGACAGCACTGCAGCCTCCAGATTGCACAATTAAAAAAAAAAATAAAAAAAAAATACCCCCCGCCAGCAGCTATGCTGTATTTATGTTCAATGTATGGTATTTCTAGGTGGAAGAGGCTGCAGGCAGGCTCAGAGCCACCGACATCCCGCCGGGGCAGCCTGCCTGGTGCCCAGCAGTGTTATTTCCCTTCTCCCGGTGTTTGTCACAGCGGAGAGCGCTGGGATGGGGGGGAGAGGGGGGGACTCAACACCTCTCCCTGTTCCGGCCCCGGTGCCTTGGCTTTCACAGGGTTTCCCCTCCCGAGGTTTGCCCGGCGGCGGGCTGGAGCACGGCCAGCATTCCCGGTGCTCGCCTCCCGACTGATGCGAGGCGGCAGCTTTCCTGCGGCGGGGATTAGCACCCCGGGCACGTCGCAGCCTGCAGGAACTCCCCTGCTTCCCGCTCCGGGGGCAAGGGGGGTGGGAGAGATGCCTGGGAGTGTGGGGGGTTTAAGGAGTCTAGTTTTGGCAGGTATGTATCTCACGGACATTCCTGGCAATGCCTTGGTGGGCTTGGATAGCCTTGAAAGTCCAGGGGGTGGGAAGGACAAAGTGAGGGCTTTGCCTTCTGCAAAGGAGCCAAACATCCAAGTCCCAGCACCCAACACACCCACAGATGCTCAAGGGCCACATTCAGCTGTTGGAGAGCACTCGGTACCCAAAATCTGAGCTTCCCCCACCCCCAGCAGGGGAGTGGGAGGTTCTCCCTTCTCCTGAGTGGGTTTGTTCAGAGAAGCAGCCTGCTGTCCCCCCCTCCCCGGGCCGTTGGAGATGCCTTACCAGCGATTCACAGCTCCAGCTGCTGGCAAAGTCAGCTCAGCTCCCGCCGCAGCCCGTCAGACAGAGGGGACGGCAGCCTGCGAGACAGAGGGGACGTCAGCACCCGCCACCGTCCCCGTGCCCCCACCACCCCCTCCCCCCACCCAGGGCCGCCACCGCTGCCTTCCTCCTCCTCCTCCTCGCCATCCCTCCGGCGCGGGGCCGGCAGCTCACACCCGCCAGCTCTGATCTCTCATGTGTGAAGAGGGGACAATTCTCTGCTCCACTTCATCAAACCCACCCGGGGATGGGAGAAGAGGTGGCTGGAGCCGCCCCGAGCGATGTCCCGGGGTGAGAGGGGAGCACAGGCACCCCCAGCCCGCCCAGGGACTTCTCAGGGGAGAAGCAGACCCTGTTCCTCTGGACACACCAGTGTCCCCAGCCCCACCGCGATGTCTCCAGACAGCCAGGACCAGTGGCAGGGAAGGTCAGCCACCAAGCCGTGTCCCCAGGGACACGAGCTCCACCGAGCCATGTCCCCGGGGACACAGGTTGCTTTCTCCATCCCCAACAGCACTGATGTGCTACAGCATGAACCACGGCACAGGGGCTGGGAGCACCTCGTGCTGCCCAAAGCCCTGACTCAGCCAGAAAAGCAGGTTTTAGCCAAATCTTTCCATAAGGGACAGTTTCCTGCTGCGAGCATGCGTGATGCGGGGGATGCTTCTCAGCAACAGCGGTTCAGGGCAGAGCAGGGTCCCACAGAGCTGGGGCAGCCCCTCACCTGGCTCTGCCACCCCCTCCCAGCCCCCAGATCCTGCAGATCCCATCTTCCCCATCTCCGAATCTCTCTCCGGCCAGCTCTGCTCACCCAGTGCTGGGCAGAGGCTTCAGCTGCCCCCGAGGGGCTCCTGCTTGCCTGGCACAGAGGGGACTCAGCCCCCACGGTCCTCAGCAGCATCCCAACGGGCTCCTGACCCACCTGGAGCCTGGATTTCACATCTCATCCAGGGGGAACATCCCAGAGGGATGGGGACAGGGTGGGCAGGTTTTCACCACCCTGCCATCTAACCCTGCTGGGAGCAAGGCTGGGGGCCAGACCAGCCACAGCCCCCTGCCTTCATCCCCATAGAGGGGAGGGCTTGCAGAGAGGCAGCAGAGAAGGAGAAAGACCCCCTGCTGCCCCAGCACCACCGGCTGCCATCGCAGCACCCCCTGCCCCAGCTGCCCCGACCCCCTCAGCCCCTGCATTTCCCAGGTCATGGCACCACCACGGGTGTCCCAAACACCACGGCGTGACGGTGGGAGCCACCCAGGAAACCCCAGCAGGGTTGGGGTCACGCCGGGCAGCCACCCCGCATCCCTCTGGATGTGCCACCCCGCAGGTTTATTTTGATGGCCTTTCCCCCCCACCTCCCTTTTCCCCCTCCCCTTTCCTTGCTAATAAGTTTTGTCCCTATTTTTAGTGCGTTTGATTAGGATAACAAGCCGCAGCTGATTGACAGCTCTTTAAGACTTTGAATGGTTTGTAATTTGTACTTGACTAATATTCGCTGGCAATAATTGCACAGCGGGACGGGAGGTGGGGGGAAGCTGCAGCCTCAACTCCGGGCTGCAGCACATACAAATAAGGCTGCGCCCGTGTAGGCACGTGGTCCCCGTGTCCCCACACAGGCTGTGCCACCCGGGCTCCCGGGCACACGCTGCTGAGGCCACGGCCGTATTTAGACAAAATCGGACCCAAAAAAAGCCACTCGGGGAAAACCCCAACACGCCTCACCCCAGGGTCAGCCACACACCGGGGCGGTGAGGTGGAAGGTCCCCTGATGGGGAAGGGACATGTCCCCACGCAGCTCCCTGTGCCCTTACACCCCTCACGCCCCCAGGTTTGGGTATTCAGTGGGTGACAGCCACAGTGTCACAGGGCTGCCATCCTGGCCAGCACATTGCCACCACATTGGGCTTGGGCACCCTCCAGCACTGCCATCCCCATGTGCTGCTGGGGTCTGCATTTGGGGTCTCCCTGGCCCCCCAGACACCCCCCACACCCCCCCTGAGCCGTGGCTGTGCTGAGCCACAGGCAGAGGGGAGGGTGCCAGGGCTGAGCCCGGCCGCACACCCTGCCCGGGGCAAAGGCTGCAGCAAGAGGCCACCCCCGCCCTCCCCTCTCCAAAAGCAATTAAAAAATGAAGCACACTCAGCTGCACAACTCAGCTCGGATCAGATCACGGCACGCGAGACGGCAGCCTCCCCCGCCGGCGCTGGAAATGCCTCCTGACCTGCCCAGCATCCCCACCTCCTCCCCACCCGCATCCCCGGGGGTTCTCCCCCTCCAAAAAAAACCCCAAATTAACTGGGAAGTTGGGATGCGGGAAAAGGCTCAATCCTCTGCCCCTACCTCCCCACGGCGGAGATGCTCCTGGGAAGACAAGAGCGAGGGGAACCGCTGCTCCCTGGCAAGTCCCGCTCCGGCTGTTTTTCGCTGCGCCCGGGATCGCTCAAGGATGGAATGGCCGTGGTAGCGCCAGGCTGATAGCAGGCAGGGAGCAGGGGGAGCGATCTTATCTTCTTTTCAAAAGGCACTAACAAAAGACACTGATTGGGAGCAGACAAAACACGGCAGCGCGGGGCTGGCTTCTTCGGCGAGGCAGAAGCAGAAACCTTGGGAAACGCCGCGCCAGGCTGGGGCCCAACAGCAGCCACCCAGCCTTGGGGAGGGAGACATCGCCGGCAAAACAGCCTTCGTCCTTGGGGCTGCGGAGGAGCTGGGTGGGTGCTGAGGGGCAACTGGGGCAGATGGGATGGTGGGGGGGTGGTGGTGGGGAGCACCGGTACCCACCGGGAGCTGAGCCACGTCCCCGGCTCGCCAAGCCCCGGCCGAGATTAATCACAGCCCCTGTCTCACACCAGACTGAAAAATGAAGCGTGCGGGACGGCGGGGGAGACAAAGCAGCATCACGGCGCCCAGCTCACCGCAGCGGGGACGGGAAGGAGCAGAGAGAGGGGAGCCCAAACCCACCCCGACCCGCTCCATCCCCCTTCGCACGCAACCGACCCCCCCGACGGGGTCCAGCCGGGGCAGGTCCGTACGGGACAAAGAGAAGGCACCCAGGAGGTGTGCCATGAAAAATGGAGACCCCAAGCTGGAGGGAGGGAGGCAGGAGCCAAAGGGCACCTCGCTGTCCCCCCTGTGCAGGGAGCACAAGGAGGTGGCAGTGCTGTCCCCACCATCCTGGCAGCACAGACAGTGCCACCACGCCGGGGGTGATGAATTGTTGCTGTGAGGGTGGTACCCCAACAGCCCCACTACCCCGTCCCCCTCCCTACATCACCCCACACTCCCTCCCTTGGATTTTGGAAGGAGACACAGCCCTGGACACGCTCACACAGCAGTTTCTCCCCTCAATCCCAGAGGATGCTACTGAAATTTTGCCTTTTCCCATGGCTGGGGGCCAGCAGGCAACAGGACCCCCAGTGCTTTGGGGAAAGCCTCGCTGCCCTGCTCAGCCCACCATCCCCTCCTGCCACCTCAATAGACCAGGTCACCATGTCCCCCATGGAAAAAGCAATTCCTGCCCCCTGTCCCGTGCCATAAGGCTTTCTCAGCACAAGGGGGGAACACAAAGGCATGTCCCTACCCAACTGGGACCAGCCCAGCCGCAGCGAGTCCCAGGTGCTGGTGAAGAAGGGGGCAGCTGCTCCCCCAGCCCTGAGCACCAGGGTTTGATGCTGCAGATCCTCTCCCTGCTTGGCTGACGGCACGAAGGCACGCCTGGGTCACACCTCCAGCCCTTCTCCTCTGCAAGGACACTCGTTTCTCACCTGCACCGGCTCCTAAAACAGGGAGAGGTGCGGAGATGCTCACTTCACCTCTCAGCTCCCATCTGGGGACCAGGGAAGCCGCAAGAAGCCCCATTGCCCACCCGAGCTTCACTCAGCGACTGCATGTCAAAGGCAGCCCAGTAAAGGCACCCCAGCTTTTCCCTGGCTCCCCCCAGCTGATGGAAAACTCTCCCAGATGAAGGGAATGGCTGGTGGAGGGGAGGGGAGGGCGGCAGGGCTGCTGCGGGGGGGCCCAGCCGCGTGCTCCCCACATATGTAACTCCCAGCCCCTCCCATCTGACCCTGTCAACTCCCGTTAAATTGAAAACCATCTTAATTAAAGCTTCACAGCCCAAGCTAGCAGGGGCCGGTGGGTCACGAAAGGGGAAAGGATAATTAAATCAACCATCCAAATTCACCCACCCCCCCACCGAAGCATGGGGGAGAGTCACGGTCGGGAGCAACACAACATGCCTCCGAATAGACGTGTCAAAACAGGGAGTGTAAAAGACCAAACCAAGCCCCTGAGAAGCACTAAAGCAGGTTTCTGGATGTTCATCTGGCCGAGAAACTGGGAAACACCAAACCCACACACAGGGAGCCACGCAGGGAGCTCAAGCTGTCCCCACACTACGGGGCCAGCCCCTCGACAGGCAGTTTTGGGCTTGTCGGGGTGATGGGCAGCAGCTCTGCCAACACCAGCAGGTGCACAGAGCTGCAGGCAGTGTCCCCCTCTATCCCCACAGCCCCCCAAAGCTGGGTGAGGGCAGGGGAAGCCCGACAGCAGGCCACCACCACCACTGTCTTGCTTAAGGCTGGTGAGAAAAAGTTGCAAGCCTTCTCTCCCCGAAATGACACAACCCAGGACATGTGGCAAGTCGTGCCCAGCCACCCGGCGCTTGGTTTTAAGCCTTTTTCACCCCCAAGGGATGGGAGAAGGGCAAGTGGCTGTTGTCACGCGGTGTCACATCCCCACCAGGGACCAGCAGCAGAGCTGGGGACCGGCGGGGACACATCTTCAGATCCCCCTGGGTGTGATGCTGGCCCACGGCTCCTCACACCAGGTCCCGGGGAGCTGGCAAAGCTTTGCACGCTCAAAGCATCCTCCGAGGCAGCGGGTTTTTAATGTACATTGATGAGGGCTCTGGAGGGACCTGGCACCCACCTTTCCCGACCGAGCAAGGCTTGTGGGAGCTCCTGGCACACCAGAGCCGTGGGCACTGGGAGCTGCAGCCCCTTGCGAAGGGCTGCATGGGGAGCT